AGCCGAGAGAGCCCGCGTCTTCTTCCTTCATTTAGCCACCAAAGCGAGATCACCCGAGAGCAGCTGAGTCTGCCTCTGGCCTCGCCTCCCTCTCCTTCAGGCCTAGCTTCAGGCATTCGTGGCATCCTATGGGTCGTCCAGAGTATCGACCTCTGGCTTGTCAGCCGGTCACTTGATGACACCATGAAGTACAGCGATCGCCACCTCGCTGGCCTCTCCGCAAGCCTCCCGACCGCGTCGAACTCACGGCGCGGGCTCTCTCGGCTACGGGACCGGCCCCAGCTTCCAGCTTCGGCTGAGGGCTCGTCTGAACCACACGTGTCCCTCCATTCACACTCTCCCAGTCCTTCCTGGTCTAGTGCCCGTCTTCTCCGCCCGTCGTGCTGAGTTGGTCGCACCTTCGTGCTTTCTTCGTCCTTCAGACGTTTCACCTAGAGCAAGCAGGGCGGAACGCCCCTTGGTCCACCCGCCACCCGGGTGGGGCTTGCACGTGGCAGCGACTCGACTGGTCGCGTCAGCCCCTTTGTGAAGCCTGACACGCTATCCACTGCTCAGGCCATGCCTGACACGCCCACCAAAGCCTTGGAGTATTCCGAAATTCGGGATCTCCTACATGGCGCTAAACAAGAAGCTGATGCAATGGTGACGGAATGCAGTTTCGACCGTGCCGCCGCCCTCGACGGGCTTGCGGCGAACCTGGCCACTCTTCTCGAGTGGAGCCGACTGCATCACAGCGATGGCATCGGTTTCTTCCTCATTACGAATTGCACTGTCTACATAGACAACATTGCGCCCACTGTTTGCTGCACCCAACACGATGCGGTGCGCTGCGCGCGCTACGAGCTGAAGCTGCTCAAGACGCGTGCCTTTGCCGACTTGCTCGAGTTCGTCGCCGATGACAGTCAGTCACCCACCGCCGATGATTTTGCGCAGGTCGGAACTGTCCACAAGACGGTCTCTGAGAGACAGGCTGCGATTGTGGCCGAGATCGTCGTCTCCCAGCGCGTCATCAAGCGGATCGACAACCTTGTCACCGAGGCGCTTCTCAAGGCCTTCTTTTCCGACGACGCACTGCGGGCCATCTACCGCGAGAAGGCCGACAAGGTCAGTGGCGCTGGTGGCACTTCCGTTGCCCTTTTGGCTGCAATCCGCTCCGACATTGCTGGAGTTCGGCCGAAGCTCCAGAGGATCGTCCTCGAGACTGTCGGCATCAAGCCTTTTCTAGCTGCTGGTTTTGGCACTCAGAGTGGGCGGGTCCACTCCGATTTTCGGCGGCGTTACCTCCGCCTCACCCGGGCCAACGATTGGCTCGAGGACGAGCGGCTCAATTCCACACAGCTTACTGCGCTCCTCCACAAGTTCCTCTCCGAGCTGACCAGTGCGTCTTTCCGATCCGACGTCGACGCCGCGCTGAACGCCATCGTCTGCGCGATGCGCAGCGCCGTCATCACGAACATGGATGAGGCCGCGGTTCTTGAGGGGGTCGGCAACGCCAATGAGGATGCCGACACCGCTGATTCCGAGTGCCGGTCCCTGCTCAGCGCCATCGTTGAGGTCTGCCGCCGGTGCGATCGGGACGGCATCACGCTTTGCGCTAATGCCCGGGGCGCTGGCCCCGTCGCGCGCGCCGCCGCCGCCGCTAGCACTGGCCGTGGGGCCGACAAGGCCGGCGACGATGACGAGGACCCCCGAGTTGCCAAGATTGTCGAGCTGCTTACCGCTTCCTTCGCTTCTGCCCAACAACGGCGGACGCCGCGGGAGACTGCGGGCGCCGACACCACCGGCGGTGCTCCCCCGGCCCGACGCCCCGCGACGCGCGACTGCTCCATCTGCCTACTCAAGGGTAAGGGCACCTTCCAGCACTATTACGACGAGTGCCCTGTGCTCAAGGGGCTTACCCCGGAGGCCATCACTGCTCTCAAAAAGGAGGCTCGCGCCGCGGGGCACGACTCCTGGTGGACTGAGAAGGAGGCCAAAAAGGAGGCGAGGAAGGCTGCCGACAAGGGCAAGGGCGGCAAGCAGGGCCGCTCCCGGGGCGGGGGCCGCGGGGGCCAGCCCGCCGATCCTCCCAAGAGCACTGCCCTAGCGCTTTCCGAAACCAAGGAGCTCACTGACACCATCCGTGGGCTGCTCGCGCTGACCCCCCCGCCGTCCCCGCCCTCTGGCGACATGGACGCGCTCGACGATGTCTCTGGGCCGACCGGTGCTCGCGTCGAGCGGGGACGGGGCTCTATCTACAACGGGGTTGCCGACCAATCGCTTGCCAACCCTGACATGAGCATCGCCGAGCTCCTCTTCACCTCGTTTGGGAGCCTTCTCCGGCGCCTCGCCCTGTGGTGCGCTGCCCTGCCGTGGCGCACTATCTGTGTCGCCGCCTACGTTGCGCGCGCCCCTCGCCACGCCGCGCGCTGGCTCTGCAGCCGTTGCTGGGCTGCCCCTCCTCCTCCCCTCGTTGACCGCAATGGAGAGTTCGCTGGCCGCCTCACCAAGCTCCTTTCCCCCGAGACCTTCTCCGAGCTGCGAGGCAAGGTCTTGGCCGGCGACACGGCTGCTCTACGCGCCGCCGGTGCCTGCGGCGGTGATGCGCCTGTCCTTCTCCGCCCCGCCGACGTCGAGGAGGGCTCCGCCCTCTCTTTGCGCCTCTCCGCAAATGCTGCTGCCTTCATCCCTCTTGGAGTCGGGGATGCTCGCGCTGTCGGGGGCCTTGCGCCTGGCGCTACGCTAGGCACCGCCTTCCAGGCCGCCTTCCCGGCCGCGTGGCTTGACGACCTATGCACTGCCGATCTCGCTGAGCTCCTACGGCTCACCGTCGCCCGTGAGCATGGGCGCATCCCGCTTACCTGCTCCCTGTTTCCCGTCGACTGCGCCGCTGCTGTTGACCGGCGTTGTCAGGTTGACATCGCCTACGCTGCTGCTCGAGCCGACGGGGTCGAGGATGCCCACGTCTGGCCTTGCGTCCGCCAGCGATGGATAGCAGCCTCGTCTGTCGAGCCTCGCCCCTACGAGACTGTCTACGAGTACATCGATGATTGGGTCATCTTCCACATCGATGGCTCCTACACTCTTATTCCTCGTCACGGCGGCGGCGCCGACGGTGTCCACGAGGGCGGACGGCGCGACCGCGGGCGGGGGAGCGTCCACAACGGTCGTTTCGACCAGTCCGCCAGTGCCCCCGACATGTCCATCGCCGACCTCCCACTCGTCTCCACACCGGTTGATGGCAGTTCGGATGGTGGGGCCTTCTCGCCTGGCTGGAGCCCCGGAGACATCGACGCTGACGGCCGCGTCAAGATATGGTCTCCTCACGGCCTCGCCAAGCGGAGCGAACCTCGCCCCCTCTTCACCGGCGTCCCGTGGGTGGGGCAGCCTCCCGGCCCTCCCATACCTGCGAGCAACCGGCCACATCAACAGCGCACACTGGCCTTTTCCGGACACCCTGCGCTCCATGACCATGACCCTTGGTACTACCGCGAGGACCATGGCCGGGCCGAGTTCTTACGCTACTGGCTCCCTGCCGGTGGAGGGCTCCCAGATGTCTTCGAGCGCCTTCTCGGGGGCGACCCTGAGGACATCCCTGGACTCATCTCACCTCCTCTCCGCTGGCTGGAACTGATGGCGGAGCACGACGGCGGGCTGTACTTCCACGTGGACAAGATTGGGGACGGCATCGTTGCTTGCTGGTGCAATGGCTTCGACGGGTCTACGCATGGATACGGCCACCACGGCCGCACCATTGAGATGCGCCATGGTCGCCAAAAATAAAATATTCTTACCTTCAAGCCCCCCTCCGAGACTAGGGACAGTCACCACCCGTACACAGGAGAGATGGGAGTGCCCCCCGCCCCCACTTGCCCTGACTGCACAGGATAGCGTGCCCCGATAACGGCGACACATAGTGGGGGACACTGCGCAAGGAGGGGGTGCGAAGCCTAAGATTGGGGTTCTAGGTGGTGGGACCATGAGGGGGGGAGGGCGGGGTCCTGTGGGGGTGAAATGTTGCGCGGCGAATTCGAACCTACCCCCTCGCCGCGCCGATCCTCACGCGGAGGGTAAAACCCTGTGGGACAAAACCCCTCCGCGGTCGGCTGTCTTCAGAGTGGACCCCCCCCTCCCCAGCCTCCCCTGTTGGTTTTCGCACCCCCCCCCCCCGCTCCCCATCGGTGACTCGCGAAGGACACGGACACTCGGGGTGGAGGGGAGGGGTCCCCCAGAGAGGGGGCT